TCCTTACCTCCCGTTAATTGCAAGGTAAATTATCCTTCTTTCAGTGAGATTGCCCTGGTGTACACATACCTGAATTACCTCACTTTGAGTGTGTGTAATTCTGCTGTAGCAGCTGACCTGCGGTGAATTGTTACCCTGCAACACATTTGAGCCTCTCTGCTTTGAATCACTTCCACACTTCGACGCTTTAACCGTTATGTCATGCTGTAAACTAAGCCTTTCACCAAGCCGGGGTCTTTTGAGCAATGCTGGGTTTTTATCTGCTTGTGTCTGACATCCAGCCCTATGAAAAAGCACCGAACCTGGCCATCCCTCCGCTGCTCCGTAGCTTGGGTCATTGCAAACACTTCCCTGGCAGCTGCAAAGCTGATACGAAGCAGCAAAACTTCCACTGTGGATTATCAGGAACGCTACTGAGGCATTGCTTAATGCATCTGATATCTAAGCCTGGATAACAGAAGCCGTACAGCCGAGCAAAAAAAGATTGGCAGCTATTGCAGGAATTCAGATAGGGGCACCTTGGTAAATAGTGTGGGGGGGGGTGCGTGTACTTCCATTACAGAGCCCGGGGCTGAGATGGATTCTCTCTCCGTCATTGTCCTAAGCACATTATCCCTGAAAGAAAGAGGGTTTCTCTGAATCTGCAATTTTTCTAGGCTTCAGTGTTACTGAAATGAAACCACTTCAAGGATATCTATATTCTTTACCATCACACGGATTCTCATCTCATGTAAATTATTTGGCCACTTTTCATTTTAATCCTCCACTGTCATTTTCTACAAAAGAGATCATTTGGTTTCTTCATTGAAGGTATTCAGCTGACAGCTGCCCTTTGTCTAGAAAGCAGCGTGCCTTTGCAGGATTTACTTGTGCCTGCTCTTTTTCTTTTTTTTTTTTTTTTTTTTCTTTTAAGTTCATATTGCTTCATGTTTTTCATCTGTAGTTGTCAGGAACTTTTCAGATTGTGAACAGGCTGTGGTTTGTAGCTCTGAAGAGAAATTCAGACATCCCGCGTTCTTCCCCTGCCCCTTAGCAAGGGTATACCTGGCTGATAAGAAACTGAACTGGAGGCAGATTAATTAATTTTCTGCTTGCAAGAAGAACTGTAGTCAAAAACTTCACAGTTTTTCACAACTTCTACATGAGCAAACCAAAACAGTCAATGATGAAGGCTTGAATTTTTTTCCGTGGCTTCCCTGTCTTGAAAACTAAGTTATTCTCACCTGCTTTCCAGAAATGTTGGGAGGCTTTCAGTGTTGTGCTTTGTGTCATGGTGTATCACCCCCCAGTCCTGTTAATAAGGACCACCTTGAAATAAGTGATGGGAATGAAACATGAATGTGTTGGTCGAGTGTGTATATGGAGAATTTGGAGGCTGAGGTTGAAAATCAGGTCTTAGGGTTGAGGTTATATGGTTTTGGTTACCTGTAGCTATGAGACCTTTTCCTTTAAGACCGAAACCTTCTGAGTATGATCCCTTCTCTGATAAAACCAGCTTGCACTCTGTCAAAGGTTAAAAGCACAATATGGTGATGGAGAAGACCATTATCAGGAGGAGATACAGTTCTGGGAAGCACAAGTTGAGGGTCGGACAAGTTTGTAGGCAGCTTGAATGTGTGGGGGAAGGAGGAGGCACGTCATTAACGTGGATAAGGAATAAGCCAGCGGGTGGAAGGAGAGGCAGATTCTAAAATTACTGTGTCAACTACAGAAACCGAGTTTAACTGCTTCGGTAGTGCCCATCCAGCTCCCCTCTGGTACCTGCTTAGCTTTGTGATCTCCATGAAAATGTCTTATTTACCAGGAGAGCTGCCTGAAAACTTCTCAAATTTTTGGTGTGTTTTTGTTTTGTTTTGTTTTGTTTTTGTTTTTTTTTTTCATAAAACAGGGTTTCAGGATGAAAAGAATTTCAGATTTTCAAGTGGGAATCACTTTTCTTGTAGAAATTTTTAGACATTTACAGGAAGAGATAAGAAATTTGTGTTAGAATGTACAGAAAGGGTTTCAGAATGATGAAAAATATGTTTTGGTCCAATCAAATAAAAATGTTTATAGCTTATTCAGTTGTAAAATGTGTTAAGATAAGGATTACTGTTTCAGCAGCGAGTTTTTTTTCTAAATCACAAGAATGCTTGGACTACACAAAGAAAACTTCCCCGTGTGCCAGAAGAGGGGCCTCAGTCATTGTCCAGTTCTGACAGTCGGCTCCGTCTCAGGGAGGTTGCCCGTTAGCCCAGAGAATTGTAAACTCAAGCCGAAGTTTTGTTATCATTAGAAAATGTGAGCTTTTTTTTGTCGGAGCCAGCAAAAGCATATGGCAGTCGGTGGCTTGCTAAAAGGACAGTGTTTAGTTATGTGCCAAGAGAAGGATCATAGTAGCCTTTGTGTTGTCTTTTCTTCATCAATTTGTGTCTCAGTTTCTTGCATCAGCATAAGAATGGGCAGTTCCAGTATACACTGTTTCTTAATTTTACATCTTCCGTCATTTCTTCCATGAAGTTAGGCATTGTCTAGCCGTTTTGTGACCACAGATGATCTAGATGCATAGGATTGCATGATACCAGGGTTTCACCTCCTGCTTTTAGTACATCACCATGTAGATCCATCAGGTTTTCTAATTTTATGGGGTTTCTTTCATGGTGTTTCTTCTTGACTTTTTGACAAGTATCTATAAACAAAACAACATTCAGCAAAGGGAGTCCATAAAATAGCTGTTATAGCTACCAAAATTTGCTGAGTTAATTTTTGTACACATAGTGATGACTTGGATTCCTGATGAGGACTCCAGGTCATACAATACTTTCATGTAACTAATAGTACAGCAGTTTTCACCTGTGATGTCTTGACATTCCTTTATCTCATGGCACTTAAAAGAGGAGATAGTTCTTGGCTCTGGGCAGGGAGGGGAGCGCTCTATTTTGTAGGTGGGAGAGCTGAGACACTGTCAGGAGACAGCTGGGTTGGGATCCGGAGCTTCTGCTTCCATCACTACCTACCAGAAAAAGCATTTTCTGGTCTGTTTTCCAAGCTCTCCATTCTCCAAAAAATATTTGTACAGAACACAACCCCTTTGAACAGAAATTTGCAAGTTAAGATAGGCACACATATCACTTTAAAGGATATAATGATAGAAAGGATGATATGTCTGGAAGAGGAAAGAATATATTCTAAAAAATACCATCCCCAGAGACTGGGGATACTGCTGAAAGCAGGGGGGGAAGAAAATCTCTTGCTGATGATTCAGGGAGCGTTCCTGCTGGTGCCAGTGCCAGAGTTGACAGTGCTACGTACTTGAAGCTTCCCAGAAAGTAAGTGTAACCAGGTGTCCTCCTCTTCAGATCTAATGGCAAAATCTCAGCTGTTTTTCAGAGTAGGATCAAGCATAGTGGGAATTGCGGTTATGATCAGTCTCTCCAGATTTACTTCACAAGAGCAAGTCAGAGGTCCAGGGAAGAAGCAGTGGATGTTTACGTGATTGCCTCCAAAGCCCAAATCGGTAGTGTAGATGTAGTCTGCCCTTCATTTAGCGAAGACGGAGCTATTTCTGTGGTTTCATTTGCTCTCTAAGCTAGCAAATCAAGTGGAAGTACATTAACAGTGCGACTAGCTGTGCTAATGTGTGATTTCTCCTAGTCAACAAGTAGTAACTTTGGAATAAGACTCCGTTTGTGGGCATGGCTGCAACTGTAAATAACACTGTGAACGATGGGATGAAGAAGCGGTAGCTAAAATTCAAACTGAATGATCAAAATTTGTGTTTACAGTGAATTGATCTAAACTGGAAGTGAAATAGTGAGATCTGCATTAGTACCTCTTATTCAAAAGAAGGTTGGACAGAAACAATTGCTGTATGGAACAGAATCCAGGTTTCTGTAGAAAGTAACTGTGCTGGGGTCGATCTACCGGAGGAGAAATATGACCATGGAAAATAATAATTGCCTAAATATGCCTAACCTTCCTACTACCAAATGATCTACAATTAAAGGAAATATCTTATTTTCAAATACAGAGCAGCTGTCCAACAGCTGAACCTGCTGCTGATCAAAGTTGATCAAAGAATTCTTAGGATTATATATTACTGGCAATCTACAGAACAAATGTAGTAGTCCCTGCTCATGGCATGCTTACCAGGGTCCATTGAAGTAAACAGGACTTTCTGGTGTTTTTAATGCAAATCTGCTAAGCTCTGTAGAATGTAAATCCGTTCGTTAAAATGTGTAAAGGACTTAAATGAAGTAAAAGAGCAAACAGTTTAACTTTTATAGGATGTTTACTGCATATAAAGTACAACAAAATCACAATTATTCAGAAAAAATGCTGTTAAAATATGCTATACTCAATATGTTGTTCTGGGAAGATTTAAAATTTTTAAGTTGTGATTTAAAAAAAAACTAGCCTGACTCTAGAAATCTTACTGCATTACTGGGTAATTTTGTCTGTGCAATCTTCATACCGTATCTGTCTAAAGTATGCAATATTTGTGTGCATGATGCATATACAAGTATGTATGTATGTGTGTATATATTAACCCAGGGATCAAAATAAATATTGAACAGCTCCTTCATTTGTAGGACGCTGCCTAAGCTGGGGGTATGTCAGGAAAAAAAATAAGTAAATGGTAATAAAAAACACAGAGGTGTGGCCTGCGATGTCTTCTGACATGATGCTTCACTTGACAGTCTTAACTCTGATATTCGTGGCGTTGCCTACTTTGTTGTATCTCTTAGTACAATATTCCGAGTGCCGAGGTGGCACTGCAAATTCTGAGATAATACTCGTTCATCTGAGGCGTTTGGGAAGTTTTATCCACTGTGTGGATATGAGTGCGTGCCGATATTACCTTATGCATATACAGGTTTACATAAAATTTACTGCGCCTGTGTTGCCTCTGTAAGAGCGATGCATAAACTAGCAGTTGGCACCTTTTAATGAAGCTGCTTTGGAGCCTTCATGCTCTATTTCTGAAAAAAAAACAACTTTTTTTTTTTCCCCCCTTGCAGTTACTTCAATGAGAATCAATATCCAGATGAGGCAAAGAGAGAAGAAATTGCAAACGCCTGTAATGCAGTTATACAAAAGCCAGGTGAGGAGCTGATCGTGGTGTCCTTTCCAAAGGCAATTGCAATTAGATTTCAACATCTCCTGCTAAATTCAGCAAATCTCATTTTATGACTATTATTAACAAATGCAGTGCTCTCAACTAGCAGTAGGTTTCTTATTCAGCATTGTATAACTGGTGTTGTTCAGAGCTGCCGTACTAGGATGAACATGACAGTCAGTGCAATTTTCAAACCTAAATGCCGATGTCTGAAACTTAAATTCCCACCAGTTGCGATACAAAGTACAAGTTGTGCATCTGAATATTTCGCTTACACAGCTTTGTAAATGGCATTGCTAAGAAAATAAACGTCTGAAAGGTTTTCATTAGAAATGTGTCTGAAAGGTTTTCATTCTTTACGTTCAGTTATTTCAAAGGACTTCTCTAAGCACTCAGTAGTGATCTGAGAATTTTATTACACTCCACGAAAGTGGGTTTTACTGGTTCTGTTTTACAGGTGGGAAATCTTAGGCTCACAGACTGAGGCTTGCTGGAGATCATACAACAGGTCCTCAGAGGATTAAGGAGCGCGGCTTTCCTGTCTTTCAGTTTTCTTTACAGCTTCTAGACAGTGGTCTCGTATTAGGATCTGTCTGTTAATGGAGGACCTTGTATTTGGGTCAACAAGTTGCATTTTCCCTGTTCCTGGAGACGTCATACTTGGGAGAGGAGCATGAATACTCAGTGTAGTATTAATGGACACACCTGCCTTTGCTTAGTTTTGCTAACCAAACATTTACATAGTTTTCAGAACGCGTATTTTGGATATATTTAGATTTTATACAACCAGAATAAAAATTAATGCAAAAGAAAGCTAAGGCACGACTCCTGAACATTGGGACAGTCACGGGATAGCACAGAATCGTAGAGCAATTTAGGCTGGAAGTGACCTCTGGAGATCCTCTGGTCAGGCAGGACCAGCTTAGATTAGGTTGCTCAAGGCTTTACCTCGTTCAGGTTGGAATATCTCCAAAACCGGAGGTTTTCCCACCTCTGGGCCCCTGTTCCACAATGTTGAGCACTCTCATGGCAAAATACTTTTTCCTGATACCTAGTCAAAATGCCCCTTGTTGCAACTTTTATGTCTTGCCTCTTGTCTTTTCGTTGTGGAAGCAGGACGATCTAGCGGGTGGAGCACCGAGGAGGTTAGGGTTTTATTCCTGGCTCTGCTGCTGGTTGGTTTAGCAACTTTAAACAAACTCCTTAAACACTGTGTCTCAGGATCAGTAAAATACTGCGAGTGGTACTGATGCAAGGCATTAGGAAAGAGCGTAGCTATCTATTTCCAGATTTTTCTTTCTTTCACTTGTCTCATCTCTCCTTACTTACGTAAGTTTGCAGATTGCTGCAATTACATGAATGTTTTGTATGGTGAATAAATAAACTTTAAGAAACAGTCTGAAGTCGGGGAATCTAGAAGAAGGACAACAAAGTTGGTGAAGAGTCTAGAGCACAAGTCTGACGAGGAGCGGCTGAGGGAGCTGGGGGTGCTCAGCCTGGAGAAGAGGAGGCTGAGGGGAGCCCTCATCGCTCTCTACAACTGCCTGAAAGGAGGCTGGAGCCGGGGCGGTCGGTCTCTTCTCCCAAGTAACAGGCGATAGGATGAGGGGAAACGGCCTCAAGCTGCGCCAGGGCTGGTTTAGGTTGGATATTAGGAAAAACTTCTTCACCGAAAGGGCTGTCAGGCCCTGGCCCAGGCTGCCCAGGGCAGGGGTGGAGTCCCCATCCCTGAAGGTATTTAAAAGACAGGTAGACGTGGTGCTTAGGGACATGGTTTAGTGGTGGGCTTGGCAGTGCTGGGTTAACGGTTGGACTTGATCATCTTAAGGGTCTTTTCCAACCTTAACGATTCTATGATTCTGTAATCTCATTGCCATGTAGCCTGCAGAGGACTGAGGATGCAGCTACGTGGAACAGGGTCAAGGCCAGCTGAAGAGGTTTCCATGCTGTCCCTGCAATGCTGAATCCCTCCAGTCTTCCCTCTTTTACGCTGGTGATCAGAAGGAGTTGTCTCCTGTAGCTGGCTGGTGGTTGCTGCGATTTTATTTGCTGGATTAAGTGTAAAACCCCAATAAACTGGTTTCCAGCATGAGCTGGTGGTGGAGAGGAAGGAAAGCAGATTGGAGAGCACAACACAAAATCTCTTCATTCATTTTGCTGCTGAAGAAAACATGTCATTGATCTATACCCTCGCGGCACAGAGAGAACCAGCCCAAGGGTATGCGATTGGTAGCAGGGCTGTGAATTGAATTTGAGTTTTTTGAATCCCAGTTTTGTGCCTGAACTAGAAAAGCAGCCCTCTGTTCTCCCATGGCTCTGGATTTAGTTGATTGAAGCTGCAAAGAAATCTGTATCTCGGATTTTAAAAAAAGAAGAAAGGCTACTTTGTTTTTAGAGAGATATCTGGCATTTATTACCATAGCATCTGGGCACAGCACTTTGATTCACATAAAATTCACTTTTCCCTGTTACTTTCATAGGAAAAAAGTTATCGGATTTGGAGCGAGTTACCTCCCTTAAAGTGTACAATTGGTTTGCCAACAGAAGAAAGGAAATCAAGAGAAGAGCCAATATCGGTAATGTATCAGAGAGCCTGCTTTCAAGGTTTAGTACCTACACTTGGTCAGGAGAGATGGAAAATACGCAAGACTGTATTAATGAAAATACTAGAGGTTCTGACATTCTTAATAGAAATGTGGAGCAATTTTTAAAATTAGTCTCTTGCCGTTCCAGATTTTTTCTAAAATATGGGTAGGAATTTAATTTAGTTTATGGAATTCCATCATCAGTGCAGGAGAAATGATGCAGTTATGAAGTTTTACTGGAAGATCAGCTTTAAAACCCAAAGAGAGAATTCTCTTGGCGGAAGGAGAATCATATTTCCCTATGCTCAGGCTCCCTTGGGTATCCAAAATAAAATAAAAAATAAAGCCTCCAAATATCTGCATGGGAAATAAGGGAAACTGAGACGATTGCAAGTTCATAACCCTTAGCATGCTGTTTAAATGAAAAGTGGCTGTTGTGAAGAGCTTTTATCTGGTTGTAAGTTTCCTCGGGTCTGTGTGCCACTGAAACGCGCTTGTTCTTTCAGCCAGAACCTGGGGGTGTCTTTCCTCCCGCCATCCCGGAGACCCCACAGGGATCTAAGAGCTCAGATGAGTCGTTTTCCATCTCGGATACAGCCACTAGCCACTCTGCAAGCCAACTTCTCGTTCCCATTGCACCTGTGCTCCTTATTGCTTTCCAAGGGGTTGCACAGCGACAAGTGGCTGGAACAAAGTAATAATTTTTCTTGATGATCAGGATAAAACAAAAGTCACTTCGGAGTTAGCCCTGCAGGTTCTTTGAGCAATGAGTAGCTGACCGTATGGAAATTAGAAGTGGCGCGGAACCTGTAAGAAGTAAACCTTCTCATGTGGATAAACATAAGACATTCTAATGAGAATAAACTCACATTAGTGGCCAGGATTCAACAAACTTTGGCAATGCATGCAAAATTTTATGCACTTACTTAGATACTATGCAGAATTATGTTTGCACTACATGGACGAACAGAGATCCATACGAGCCTATTACCAATATTTTGGCAGATATTAAATGTTGTGCCCTTTTGCTATCTGCTTCTTTTGCTGCATTTGTGAACAAGAACAATTTCTTTTTGCAGCATTTGGTGTGTTACTGAAATTTAACATAATTTTTTTTTTTTTTTTAAATGAAACCTGTTGAAGGGCGGGGGGGGAGCAAAGCAAAGTTAGCCCAGGGTGGGTGGAGTTACAGCTGTATCTGAGCTGCATGGGGAGGAGGGTTGGAAGGAGATTAAAAAGAACCAAAGGGAGCTTTAGATGCATGGATCCTACTGGAAGATGAAGATATGTGTGTTTTTAAATCCCTTAAGTGCTTTAAAAAATTTCTCCATCTATTTTCAGACCCTCCCCACCCCCCTCAAGTCCTGCCAGTCCAAACTATGTGGGAAGATGTACAGGGAATGCCTTTGCCACTCCAGTGCATTAGAAATTAAGCTAATTTCTAATAGGACTGGCTGGAAGACAAGGATTCTTACTCACAAACAAGTCTGTTAGTTAGCAGGGAAGGATTTCAGGCAAACCAGTAGCTGTACATGTCCTACCTTCCCAAAGACTGGAGAGTGAAGAGGAAGAGGCTAAGAACTAGCTCTGTTCTTCCAATTATTCTAACATCTTGAAAAAAAAGTAGTTACTTTTAATTCCTCTAATGCATCAGATAAATTAGGGATCCATTTGCTTTTTTCGAAGAAGCAGCAATCCTGGAGAGCCATGGAATAGATGTACAGAGTCCGGGAGGTCATTCCAACAGCGACGACGTTGATGGCAATGACTACTCAGAGCAGGTAAGCATCACGGCTGAGCCTCTTGGCCCAAAAAGGGAGAGTTCATGCGACACATGAAGAGGCCTTCTACCTCTCGCAAATCAGATGTCTCTTGTTTTTGTTTTGCTTTTATGTAATTGTAATGGGGAAAGTGGAAGAGCACAGCTCCCCTACTTGAATGTGTTGAGCAACCAGCATTCACCCACATGGATTTATTGTCATACAACAGGACACTTGGCAAGTACGCAATGGGGAGGAGGAGGGAAGATGTTCAGAGGGAGGCAGAGAAGCAGAGAAGGTAGAAGAAGACAGGAGGATCTGCTCCAAACAAGCAAGTTACACCATTCACGCCACACGCAATGTATGAAAAATGTTAGGAGAGTGTTAACTCACCCAGTGCACCATGCATAACTTGCGCTCTCCTTACCCATGGCACCATTCTAGTTACCCACCCTCAAGAAAGGGTGTAGAGGTCTTTAACAGTTGCTCCTATCTATCAGGAGCCAACATGCTTCCCTGCAAAACTAGGATGTGTGTTCCTCTTACACCTATTATTTCTTTCTGCGAGAAATATCTCCATTGTAGCCTGTGCTACGGTCACTGTGAGTTGCTTATCTGGCACCCAGACAAGTACAGCAGTAAGCCCCTGCCCAGTACATTTTATAATCCCTTTTGTCAACCTTGCCCAGCAAGACACTGAGCACCCTCCTACAAGGTGCTGAGCTCCCTCTCTTTGTCTGTGGGAGTACCTTTCGGGAGCGTCTCAGGATCAGTCCCTAAGACACTGACAGACAAAGGGTGAAGGGTGGGGGGAAAGGATTTGATTAAAGAAAGTTTGACGTTTATTTGGCCTCGTACCTGGTCCGTATTGTTCTGCAACGATGTGCCACTATTTGGATTGTTTACATATTATCTGTCTTTTTTTTTTTTTTTCTTTCCTTTTTGCGTTTTAACTCTTGCCTATTCTCTATTTTTCTTGGTTATTTTTAACCCTTGACAGCAACTTCTTTTTTAAATTCTCTAGCAAAAGAATACCCCTTCCCGCACTCTGAGCCCTCACCTACCCTAAAGTTGGTGACCCTTCCTTCACACACCTTCCTGACAGGTATTGCATCCCCTTCCCAATTTTCCTTCAGGTGTCAGTGTTGGCCAAAACCCCTCAGGGCTGTGTGTGCTTGGCACCAGTGGACTCGAACAGTTCACTTACTTGGTTCTGGTTTTGATGTGAGCTGTGTTCTGTGCTACGCCCAACATCTGGGGTGGGCAGATCGCTTTTAATTGACTCGTTTGAGAGAAGTAGGTAGGTCTCCCTCTATAAAGGCTGCTGGTGGAGCGTAATAGCAACTGCGTGTCCTGGAATGAGTCCCCAGCATACTTGGCTCTGGCCCAGTACGACAGATAGCTGGCAGAGGCATTCCCAGCCGCGCTGCTTCTGATGGGTATTAAGGCCCTTTTTATAGGTCATCACCAGCAGATTTGGTGGAACCAACTTTGCTAGCTCTAGATGATGAGAGGCTGCTCTCCGACTGTTATAAAATATTCTGAAACTGCTGCCGAGCGCAGATAATTCCTTGTCAGTCAGAGGCAGAACCTGAATACTGAAATGAAGCGTTACGTAGACTCCCAAACTATGTTTTTTCTTCTGTGTGTTATCCAAAATACTTTGAAAAGAGAAATAAATTGGTTATTAAAATTTAAAGATCTTTGTTTAGAGTCCTTAAAAATTACATTTCTCAGTAATCTAGCTGGGCTCCTCTAGGAAGTGTAATTAGGCATTAGCAGCAAAGCGGATTAAATGGCAAGCTCTCCTGATGACCATTTAACATCCCTTAGCTGTTAAAACCATAAATTCTGTTTTCCACAGCGACACTTAAACTCTAGTAAACTTTAAAACACAAAGTTCGTCCAAATACTGATGAAGTGCCTATAACTCCAGAAGTCAGGACTTTGTATTTCTTACCGTGGTAAAGATTACTGAGAGGCCCTTAGAGTGTGTGCACGTCACAGTATTTGCCTGACATTCGTTGTAAATGAATGCATTCCTTTAAATAACCTTGGGATTTTACCAAATCCTGGCTTTTCTATGCCCCTCAGCGTTTGCCACATGTCATTTTAATTTAAAAATGTGTAATAACACATTTCAAATTCTAGATTTCTCAAGTTCATCACTTAAAGGCTGTTGGAAGACTGATAAATGTTTATAATTTCCTTTCTGTAAATAATAATAATTTAAAAAAATTGTGAGATCATGGCATGGTAACTGTTAGTACCCCATTTGAAAGAGGAAAGAACACCATGATTTTGCCCAAGGTTCCCAGAAGAACTTGCTTGACAGCTGGCATTACAGTTTGGATATTGCTGGTTCTCCTTCCTATCATTGAAAACCAGGCCCTATTTCTGACGTAGACTGAGAAACATGCACAACTCACTGTAAAATTTATGCTAGAACTGTCAGACCCTTAGGTCTGATATTGTGTGGCCATTACGCACCTGTAGAAGGCAGCCCTTCTTGTTCATTGATTTTAAAATTTTCGCCGCAGTCCTGTAGCAGCAAAGTTTCTCTGGATTAGTTTTGCTTGCCGGCCACCACAGCCGTCAACACAGTGGTCCTCTTACAGCTGAGAGACTTTGCTCTTTAGAAAACAGATGAAGAAATACATGGCGCGTAGTTCAGTGGACTGGAGAACCTGGCAGTATCTTCACCTGCATATTTGAATTACGGTGGTTCCAGTCCCCTGAAATCACTGCCCCGTTTTTCTTAGCAGCCTGGGAGGTTTTCAGCATCTTTTTCCCTATACCTGTGTGAATTCAGTGTCTTCACAGGATACTGGCTCAGACCAGGGGTTAGTCTGGGTTTGTATCCTGTTTCCGAGTGAGGTCAATAGTAGTATTTAAGGAAAAAGTATTTTTAAAGAACAGGACAATTATAGAATGATTTTATTATAGTAGCTTCCAGCTTCTGGAAGTCAGTAGTTTTGAGAGGCTTCCTGAGCCAGGCTCTGTATCCACTTTGTTCTTAATTTACTAATTATTTGTAATAAACATTTACCAATCAACCATCAGCCATTTCTTTTCCAAGCTGAAGAACCCGAGTCTCTTTAGCCTCTCCTCATAAGGAAGCCTCCCCATCCCTGTCTTCCCCTGGGCTGCTGTTCTGTCTACCTTTCCTAGTTCTATTGTGTCCTCTTTAAACGGGATGACCAGAACTGTATATTCAAAATGTGAGCGTAGCATGAATTTGTGCAGTACATAATGATTCCTATCTTAGTTTGGTTTCCTGACGTACCTTGTGTATCACTTTTATCTTTATAATTTAATATTTTCCTCAGAATATCCTCCCCCCCCTTCAAATTTCTCTCTTGAAAATTGGGTACGCCGCTCCTTGCCCCACTTACCTTTGTCTGCACAGTGAGGGAAATCGGTCCTAAATCAATTTTATAAATTCCTTTCACCTTCTACCCCTGTAATGAATGTGCAGTTTGCTGCCCCTAGTCCATTGCTTTACACACTAGTTTTATCTGCTGGTTTTCTACTTATGGAGTAACAATGCTTCTCTCTTCTCCTTTCCGCATGCACAGGATGACAGCACTAGCCATAGTGACCATCAAGACCCCATTTCATTAGCCGTGGAAATGGCAGCAGTAAACCACACCATCTTGGCATTGGCCCGGCAAGGAGCCAACGAGATCAAGACAGAGGCTCTAGACGACGACTGATACAAAGAAAGGGGAGGGTCAAAGCAAGAAGTAACTTAGTTTTAGACGTAGCACCTTAGCAGACTTTCCTCGGTCCTTAATATGTGTTCTTACAGTATAACTTTGCAGTTTCTTGTACGTCAGTTAGCTGTTAGGGTCTTGTTCTGTGAAGATGGCATGGTGCCCTCAGCCTTTGCATATACTCTCTCAGTATTAATTCCCAATAAATAATCAATCAACCAACCAACCTCCCTCTCCCAGCCCCAGTGGCTAGAAAAATCTTGCTGCTCTGTCTTAGCATTCAAAGTGCTTCCAGGTATTTTAGACAGCCCTCAATTACAAGTCTTAGGCTACACTTAAAATCTTGGATACCCTTAGAGATCGTGTTAAAAAAATAGTCTGTACGCTTTCCTTCTCTGAGACTGAAAGGATGCAAGCTGAGGTAGTGGCACAGGGTCGATGGACACCAAATCGGGAGTATCAACAGAGAGTAAAAAGAACACTAGAAAAACCCCACTTCAGCATGGGAATAAATTATTTCCAGCTGCAATAAGCCGTGCCTCACTGGTCATACAGTGACTCGATATACTTTTGGGTGCTGTGCTGAGAATGTCCATTGGAAACACATTCACATATTTCAGTTGATGTTCACATATTCAACACAGACATCCTCTACTCTCACAAGCTGCGTGGCTTAGTGGATAAGTACTGCCTTCTGCCTCTGGGACCATGATTGAAGCCCAGCCTGGGATCATATGAAAAATGAGCTGAATGTCTAATGGACAACAGTCCACGTCTCAAAACCACTATTCATTATTTGGCATGGCTAGCAGTGCCTGCTCAGAAGAGGTCTAGACTCTATTGATCTGTCATTAACAATTTCACCACCTATTCTTCCTCTTGCCTTTTCTGTCCCCACCCTATTCCCCTCTCCGCTTTGCCACTTTCAAAAGCAATGTTTTCCAGGAAGGTTATTAAGGTCACAGAATGGGTGAGTGGATTTTTACACGTCTGTGTAACTAATGCCTACGTCCTGACTAGCCTGAAAGGTTATTGGAGAACTTTTGCATCTGACCTTCGCTTAGGTAACCACCATAGCGTAAATATTCTCCGAAATACGAACTTTTTTGGTTTGTTTAAAGGCAGGAGGATCTCTTACCTGAGAAATGGGGTGTGAATGTTTTGTGTTCTCTTTACTCTGTCCTTGTTAAGATGTGAGAAAGCTATACTGCTACGAGCAATTTAATTAATAATTGGAAGCCATACTGATAATGGATGTGGTAATATTTGTAAAGCAAACCTACTTTAAGTAGCAGAAACTAATGGAATTGTTTTCCTTGATCATATGTAGCACTTTTGTTACTTTTTTCTTAAAGATATTTATATTTGATAAGTCTTTTTTTTATCATTTGAGAATTCAAAATACCAAACAGCAAACTTGCATTACAGAGTCACCCTGCGATCACCTTGTCATCTAGTATCTAAATGATGAACTGTGTGTGCATCTAAGAAAATTACATCTGCTGGCATTGTGTGGAAATGATCTCCTGGCATCCTGATAAAATGATATGTTGCTGCCGGTAAGAGGAAACATTTCAATGGAAACAGCACGGGAAGTGTTAGAGACGGGCAGGACTGTGTTACATTAAAAATAAAAATTAAAAACCTATGTAAATTTTTGTATATAGAGATATAAAAATTTGCATAGCGTTTCCACAACATTCCATTTTTATCTTCCCCGTTTATGTGGGAATAGCTCAAAAAGGGGAAAACGGCTTAGTCTGAAGGATGGGTTTCCCTTTTCTCCCCTCCGCTTCTGAAGGTGGAGGGAATGAAGGGAAGTTGCTATTACTTGGCTTGTTCTCATCCCTTCCTCACGCTTCACTATCGGTAGCATTGTGAACCCCTAAACTGTGGCTCCTCGGCAGGTTTGTAGCCAGCCTAAACCCCTTCATGGCGTAGACTAACGAGATCATCTTTACATCTGTTAATCTTGTGAAAATTGCTTAGCTAAGTGTGGAGGGGATTTTGTGCTTTTGGAGGGCACTGAGTTGGCACCTCTTTGTCTCTGTAACTTTGAAGATATATAGGTAGGGCTTGGCCTCGTCTTTCATTTATGGATTTCATTGGAAAATTTATGTGCTTTCCTTAGATATAGATCACTGAAGCAGAATGAAGCCGTCTTTTTTCTGTTTTATTGCATTTCTTGAGTAGGCAAATTCATAAGTAGCATCAGGGCAGACTCAGGAAAGAAAGGAATTGGATCAGTGACCATTGCACCATTGCAGTTTTTTTCTTAATGTGTGTATGAATGTTTTGGTACTAAGGAGTGAAAGGACGGGGAGAGCTTTTATTTCTATTTTTGCACAGCAGAACGATCGAGCAAACTATAGCCTTAGTGGAATTTTACCTACTTATTCATACTACAGTCACACACCAAGCTGACAAGCAACATCCACGATTTATAGTAAGGAGATTTTAATAATCGATGGCCTCTTTACGTTGGGATTGCCACCACCATTTGTTCTGGCTGTTTCATTTTAAAAGGAACAGACTCAAACTGTTGGACAGCTGCAATTTTAAAAGAAATATTGCTTACTATACCATCTAAAAAAAAAAAAAAAAGTCATTGTTTCAACCATCGCCTTTTTAAAGCAATAGGGAAGAATAAAAATAATACTAGAACTTCTATATCCTGGTTATAGGTTCATGTGATGCAGGATCAAAGTAACACCACTACAATTGTATGTCTGTACCATCTAACGTAGAATAATCTGGTCTTAATTCTGTTTGTCACTGTCAGATAGCTGCTGGTCTCATCATGCATGCGTATCCTATCTGAAGGTTAAACAGTTAAACCCCTCGTGAACAACTGGAGCTTGGCAGATCCTCCTTGTCTGTAGCTTCCTGGTAAACACCATCTTCTCTCCAGAGTAAACAAATTACTTAGCTGGGGAATCAGACACTTAGTTCCATGGTGTCCGTTTTTGGTTTGCCCCTATTTTGGCTTTTCTTTGACCGTCGAGAGGTACGAGGAAAGAGTAAGACTTCAGCTTTTACCAGGATACTCACGGCAGTCTTTTTCCTTCATTCTGAAAGTTCATCATGAACAATTTGCAGCTGGCTAATAACTTTTTGGTGTGACGTGAATTAGCTAAAATAGAACAGACACTGGTGTGATGATATCAGGGGAAGCGTACGTGATGTGGAGTAAGTGAAAGAATTGGTGGGGAACGTGTCCTGGAATTTAGCCTTTGTTCTAGGGTTTTTTCTGCAACATGGGAGTCGTCTTTGTCTTTCTGTCTCTGGATTTTCTTGAAAATTAAGCCTTATTTTTGTAGCGTTGCAATTTAGTTGCAGTTTGTTGTAGCCAATCTGGAATTACTGCAATTTGTTCTTGTGTGGGTTCCCTTGAAGTGGATCTGGTGGCAGACTAGATCTACCTTTTTGTTCTGTGAATAGAGAAGAAGTTATTTAAGATGCTCCTCCTCTGTGATGGGCACAGATTGCTTTTGACTTTGTAGAGTAAGTTCTGGCTGGTATTTTTGTCACTCATAAAGTCCTTATACTTGAGTTGTTGTCTCTTACCGTCTTCTTAAAACAACAGTTTCTACCTCCACTTCTTTTTTGGATTGTTCTTAGGTTTTTTGTTTTGGTTTGGTTTGTTTTTTAATTCCCCTACCTTTTTCCTGAAGTATGAGATCCCAGATGTTTGCAAAACCATTGAGTTGATAAAAATAAGTCAACGTAGCGATGAGCAGACATGTTATCCGTTGATGCCCTGGCGTTATAGGGACATCTTCTAAATACTCAATAAACCTACATCTTACGATTACATTACAGTGTAATCCCATTACTCATAGGTTGGATGTGAACAATTTGGGTTTGAGTCAGCAGTGCACCCTTGCAGCAATTATGGAATCTCGTTAGGAAGAGCCTTCAGCAGGTCAAGGAAAGCGATCAGTCCCCTCTGTTCATCACTCGTGGGACCACATCTGGAGTACTGTGTGCACTGTTGGGCAGGAGCGAGTCCATCGTAGGGCTGCTGAGATGAGAGGGTTGGAGCACATGTCATGTGGTGAGAGTTTGTGAGAGCTGGGTTTGGTCAGGCTGGCTCTGGGGGCATCTTATATTTTGTTCTTCAGCTATCTTAGTGGGTGGGTTTAGAGAAGATGGAGCCAGGCTCTTCTCAGAGGTACATAGCAAAAAGGTGAGGGGCAGTGGGTTCAAACTGCATTAAAGAAAATCCCAGATGAATATAAAGAGGAATATCTTCATACTCGGAGTGGTAGAACAGTGGCCCAGAAAGGCAGTGAAACCCCATCCTTGGGGATATTCAGAACTCAACTGGACAAGGTTGGATTAGAGACCTCCAGAGGTCTCTTCTGACCTACATTATTCAATGATTCTGTACAAACCTGCTCAGGTTGAGGTGTTTCCTAGTTCTGATCTATACATGTTGACAGGTTTAAAGAAATTCTCGTAATTCGTTGTTGGCTTTTTTTTTTCCTGTTTTACTATTCATAAAAAGTTATCTTTTCTATTCTCCTAATAGAGGGGAGCTTTATTTGCAGGGTCTGGCTCCGGGTTCCAATCAAGCCATAAGTAATAAATTTCATTAATCATTTGCTCTGTTTACACAGTTCTTCAGGGATATTTGAATTATTCTGTTTGTTTCATTGCCTAACATCAGACTGGTAAGCTTTCCATGTTTTCGTAACATTTGTGCTGTAGATCAGCTTTTGCCTTTGCTTGTGAGGATTTATCGTTGTCTTGCTGCTGTGAGTGCAGGCGAAAAATTTCCTATAGGTGAACATATTAGAGGAAAAATTGTAGCTAACTTAAGCCCACTGGTGACTACTGTGATAAGCTAGAAATTTATGGTTCAGTAAATCATTAATTGGTGATTATCAGAAGCTGAAAGGGTATGACTAGGAAAGAGTCACGTTATACTCACTTGGATCCTCCTTTTCTTTCCTTAAATGTTTGCTGTTGGCCACTGCTAGGAAAAAAAAAAAAAAACTTCACTATATAGATTTTAGGTCTGATTTGGATGTTATTTTGAAGAGAAATTGCATTGGTGTTTGCAAATATGGACTGGCGTGGGGTCAATTAGACTCCCAAGTGTTAATTTCTGCCTTCAAGGTGCATAAGAACATGGAGATGAGTTCACCAAGATTTTGAGTTCCCCTATGTGGTATAAAAGTTGTCCTTCACAACGAGATGCTGCTTGCAAAGAAGCAACATGAAAGCATCGTGCTGGCCTTCCCCCAGAGC